GATGGGGATAAAGGTGTGGCAGGGGGCTATAAGGACTGGCATTGGTCAAGAAAAAGGACAGGGAAGGCCATACAGGAGGAAGAACTGAAATAAAACCAGAGGGTGAAAAAGAGACAAAAAACCCAAGAGACAGGGACACACAGAAAGATCAAAAGTGAGAAACATGCATAGAGATGCATGGGGTGGGTAGTGCGTGCAACAATGGGGAAGGAAGTGGGCTTCCTCAATATCTACGCCACCCTCCTAATGCACCTTCCTCTGACTGTAAAAACTGGAAAATTAAAAACTACATTTCCCAGAATGCCTTAGGGCTGGGCTGCTGGACAGAGGCTAGGTCCCACCAATCAAATGCCTTCGCGGGAAGCTTGAATTTCTAACCAAAGTGAGCAGGGAGAGAGGCGGCTCGAGGTTCTTCTGCTTACGCCCTCCCGGCGACGCGGTGCGGTTACGGAGCCAGCTGCCAGCTACCTGACTGAGTAGTGGGAGCAGCAGATCCTGGGTGGCTCTTTCTGGAAGCTGTATTTTGGAATGTCTTGGAGGCTCAACCTAGAATCTGTTCCTTCTCAGAGGCTGTGTGGCCCTTAATAAGTACCTTTCTCCTTACGCTCTCCCAAGCGGATTCCGTTGGCTGCCATTGAGCATTGATGGGTACAGGGAGAAAGACATGCAGACAGGGGCAGAGTCAGAGAAAGTGATTCAGAGAGGTACACAGGGACCCTATCTCCCAGGAGAGAGACAATCCTGCAGAGATACAATGGGATGGACGTGCAGGGGCCGGGGGAGTGATGGATGAAGACCTAGTGAGCCAGACACCCAGAGAAATACACAAGGTAGACTGAGGTGGGGGTGGGGGGTGGGGAGGGGACAAGGGCAGGGGCCAGAAATAGTGACAGAGACCAGGATGCAGGTATGAGGGTGTTGGTAGAGGGGACCAGTTAAGAGACTAAACTTTGTAAAGCATACCAGTTGAAGTTAGGAGAATGGAGTGATCTTTGGGGAGGTCCCTGACTTGCCAAGATCACCGAGATTGGTGGATGATGGATCATTCTTCTGGCAAAATGTGTCTTTTTGCCCTAGTGCCTATTCCCAACCCCAAGCTTCATCAGCTGACTGAGGAGGCAATAGTGGCCTTGAATGTACTTCCTACACACCCTTCCCTTGCTCCTCTAGACTTGCCCTCCCTCCCAGCCAGTCCCTGCCCCCTTGATGACTTGGGAAGGGTGAGGACAGTGACTGCTTGGCTACTCCTGATGTCTGAGGCCAATGCCAGGGGTAGGAGAAGACTGAGGAACTAAGAAAAGGGGCAGAGGGACTACCGGAGAAAGACTGAATGGAAAAGAAAGCGAAGCTTAGGGAAAGATAGGGATGGCAGTGTGAGACAGAGAAAGGGAAGTCTGAGGGACACAGAGAAACTAGGAGCAGAGAGAGGGAGAAGAGGGAGTCAGGGCATAAGAGCAGAGATAGAGGGGGAAACCAAGGGGCAGAAAAGGAGAGGGGACAGAAGGACAGAGAGGAGATTTGGAAGGATAGAGTTAGGGCTCCAGGGGTGGACTTTCCCTGGCCGCTCCAATCACTTTGTTGTGGCCTGCAGTTTTCTTTTCATTCTTCTTCATCCAGAATTGCCAGATAAAATAGAGGATGCCCAGTTTTGTTGAATTTGAGATAAGCAACAACTAATAGTTTAGCATAGTATGATCCGAGTATTACACGGGATATATTTATACTTTAAAAAACTTTTTAAAATCTGAAAATACAATTTTACTGGACATACAGTATTTTATTTATTTATTCATGACAGAATCTCACTTTGTCACCCTGGATAGAGCGCTGTAGCATCATCGCTCACAGCAGCCATAGATCTTTCTGCCTTAGTCTTCCAAGTAACTGGGACTACAGGTGTCCACCACAACACCCGGCTATTTTTTCTTTTCCTTTTTTTTTTTTTTAGAGACAGAATCTCACTTTGTCACCCTCAATAGAGTGTAGTGGTGTCATAGCTCACAGCAACTTCAAACTCTTGGGCTCTAGCAATTCTCTTGCCTTAGCCCCCCAAGCAGCTGGGACTGTAGGCACCTGCCACAACACCCAGCTATTTTTAGAGACAGGGTCTTGCTCTTGCTCAGGCTGGTCTAAGCTCAAGTAATTCACCTGCCTTGGCCTCCTAGAGTGCTAGGATTACGTGTGAGCCATTGGGCCAGGTGACAAATAGTACTTCAATTTGCTAAATCTTGGCAACCTTGTCTCTATCACATTCATGTTTCTGCCTCTTTCCATCTCCTGCTTGTTCTCCTCTCTGCCTCTCTTCTGGTTCTTTCCTTCCTTTTTTTTCTCCTTCCCTCCCTTTCTTTTCTTTCTTTCTTTCTTTCTTTTTTTTTTTTTTTTTTGAGACAGAGCTTCACTATTGTTGCCCTTGGTAGAGTACCTTGCCTTCACAGCTCACAGCAACTTCAAACTCTTGGGCTTAAGTGATTCCCTTGCCTCAGCCTCCCAAGTAGCCTGGGCCAGTTTTGAACCCGTCAGCCTCTGTGTATGTGGCTAGCACCCTACCCACTGACCTACCAGCACTGCCACCTTCCTTCCTTTCTTCTTTTTGGGATAGAGTCTCATTCTATATCCTGGACTAGAGTGTAGTGATGTCATCATAGCTTACTGCAACCTCAAACTTCTGGGTTCAAGCCATCCTCCAGCCTCAGTCCCATGAGTAGCTGGGACTACAGGTCCCTACCACCACACCTGGCTATTTTTTTCTGTTTTTAGTAGAGATGGAGTCTCACTGTTGCTCAGGCTGGTCTCGAACTTCTGAACTCAAGCTACCATCTTGCCTTAGACTCTCAGAGGGCTAAGATTACAGGCCTGAGCCACAGTGGCTGCCTCCCCTATTCTCCTCCCTCTCTGAGTGATCTGACTCTAACTAACATGCAGAGCCACCCTTGACTTCCCAGGCCCCCTCTTTACTTCTTTCCTATTCCTAGTGCTGTTTCTAGGGTTTTCTCTCTCTTCCAGGCAACTTTTTTTGTCTTCTTTCTTCATCTCTTTTCTTATTGAGGTTCTCACCCCGCAATTCTCTTCACATCCCACCCCTTGCCCAGGGGTAAGGTTTGGGGGCTCTGAGGGAGCCAGGAATCTCCCATTACTCACCTTCATCTCGCTCTCATCTCCTTTCCTTTCCATTACCTGGGCCAGAGAGGTCATGAGAGTTTCCCAAAGTCACACAGCGAACAGAAATTAACTCTACCCTCACTCCCCAAATCCCTTACAGGTTCCCAGTCTCTTGGTGGAAAATTCCTCCACTCTTTGTGAAAATGGCCTGGGTTGGTGATATTTCTAAATACCAGGCAATGCTTGAGAGTCACAGGCCAGGACAAGAAGTTCCTGTGGTTCACAGGATGGTAAACTTTGGAGTACCTGCTATGTGCTGAGAGTGAGAGATGAGGCTTATGGACTGTAAATATGACAACAGTGACGTGGCATGGTTGTCACCGGATCCCTAGGTGACAAAGCACCCAGAACATAGCAGGTGCTCAATAAATGTTGAATAAATGAACGAATGAGTGAATGAATGAATAAACACACCAAGCAGTTGGGGACTCATCTCCATGTCTGCCCTTCTCTTCATCCCTCTGCTCTTTCTTACTTCCTCCTAGCTCCAGTTCCCTCTCTCCTCCTGTCTCCATTTCTGTCCTCCTTTAGAGGTGGGGTCTCTGGTGACCGCCATGTGCCGAGCAGTCTCTCTATATCAGGTAAGTCTAGTTGTGCAGGGTATTTTCCAGATGTTGAGATGGAGACCCTGAGAGGAAGCAAGGTGCCCTGCCTGGGTCACACAGAGCGTCTGTCCCACTTCACCCAGCTTTTGTCTCTTCATCTGGAACTCTGTCCTTCCTTCTACTTGATTCATCATCACTTCCAAGATAGAAGGCTGTTAGTTTTACTCAGGAGCTGCAAACTGGAATATGTGCAGGGGCTAGGCATGTACCATAAATGAGCAGTGCAGGGTGGGAAGGGGCTGAAGCCGTCTGGTTTGGTGAAAGTCAGTGGCTGCCTCATGCCAGCCCATTATGGCCAGATGGCAATTGTGACCAAAGAAGTCACATGGCATTTCTCAAGAAGGTCTCAAAACCCATATTTTCAGAAGTCTCCCAATGATTAAATGCTAGTAACAAATTCACACAAAACACTATTGAGGTCAGCAGAAATCACACGTTGTCACAGACCTGTCTGCTGGCCAATGTTTGTAGCCTCTTAGTTATTTTTAGTCACATGTGCCAGGTTCTGTGCTAAGAAGAATTTCCAGATTCCAGTAGAATGTGTGCTCCATGACGGCAGAGATGTCTGGGTCTGTGTTTTTCCACTGCGTTTACCCTTAGCACCTAGAACAATGCCTTATGCACACCAGGTGGTCAATATACTTTTAAAAAAAAAAGTGAACAGTGTAGTGAATCTAAGCATAAACCAGGTGATGTAGAAACAACATTTTAAAAAATCTTCATTTTACAGATGGGGAGATGGAGGTTCCAAGGGGCAGAGTCTCAGGGTAATACAGCAACTCTGGCATCTAAACCTGATCTCACCTGACTCAAAGCCTTAACGCTGGCTATCCTGATTCTGTCTGGGGTTGTGTATTTGCAGTGCTGCATGAAGGGACATGTCCAGGAGCTTGCCTGTGGACTGTGTTTCCAAGTATGTGTGGCAGTGGTGGTGGTGATGGTTCTCTTGGTTGGACACTGTGGGCCTGGAAGCTAATCCTTGGGCACTTGCTCCTCTCTGCCACATTGGCTCTGGATGCTCACGGAGTCCAGAGAAAACAATCCACCTCTCCCATCCTCCCCAATCTGGGACCATCCTCAGGAGTCCCCCCACCCCCTCCCCTAAGTCCCCATACCCTGGGGAAAAGGGGAAAAGAATTAGGATGAGGGTGGAGGTGCAGGGAGGAGGGAGAGGGAGGGGGATGGGTTAAGAAGGAGTGTGTGATGTCAAGCAAAAAAGACAACATTAGACACAGATGCTGAGATGGCGTTTATCGCGGCAAAAAAAGGTGAAGTCGCCGAGGGAGAAAGGCTAGGGAAAGGGGGTGTGGTGGGGGCTGGAGTGGGGGCCATGGAAGCTAATACATGGTGCACTAGGTCACACGACGGACACTGGGGGTGGGTGAGTGGGTAGGGTGGGCACGGCCCAGGCATGGCAATGGGGGGAGAGGGGAGGATACGGCAGTGGGCCCCAGCCAGGAGCTTCTGAAGGTGGTGGGAGGAGGTGGGCGGCGTCTCTGGTCGCAGAGGATGGAAGGAATCAGTTAGAAGGGGTTGAATGGAGGCACTGGAGGCATGGCCACATTCCAAGAAATGGAATGCTGGGGCGTTGTAGGACAGGCAGGGGCCAGCCTGGGGCTTGAGTCTTTTAATCTAAGGAGTGAGGAGAACCAAGGTACCTTAGAGGTCCTCCAGTATCCCCATTTTCCAAGAGAAAAAAGCCAGGGGGAGGCTCCCTTAAAGTCCTATGGACTTACCAATTGGTTCTCCAGAGACAGCCCTGCAGCCTCCTCCACTCCCATTCTTTTCCTACCCTATCTGTCAACAGCAGAGAAATAGGGAAGAGAGATTCTAACTCCTTTGGCTTCACCATTATCTCACTGAGGCTCTGCAGTGAACTTGGGAGAATGAACCCATTTCACAGATGGGAAAAACTGAGGCACCCTGCTAGACAACACCTTTCCACGCCTCTCCTACCTCCCTGTTGGGGGTTCTATGCACCCCATCCTTCTAGGAGTAATACTGATACCTTGAAATCCTTAGCATTCCGGGTCGGGGAGGGGACACATACTTTGAGATTCTCCCAAATTGAAAAGGGATGTGGGCCATGCCTCCAGTGGCCTGAGATGCCAACACAAAGAAAAAAAAATGACTCCCCACGTCCCCTGGCTCAAACCCAGTAGAAAAGTGACTATTTACAATGAAGGCGTGGGGAGTGTGTGGGGGGCACAGGGAGGAATGGGGCCAGAATAAGCAGCTCCTCTTGAGGGAGGCCACCTCCCCTGGACCCGCCTTTTAAAGGGACAAAGCCAAACAGCATAGGTACTTATAGAGGATCTCTATCCCCTGGGCTGGGCGGCCCCTAGGGGTGAGGGATGGGGGTGGGGCATGGGATGGGGTGCGGGTGGGGAGGCATGGGCGGTGGGAGGAGATGGAGGAAAGGCAGCAACTGCCCCTAGCCTCCCCCCTCCCCCCTGCCGGACACACAGTTTTCCGTGGGATGAACACAGAAAGGGTTAATCAAAAAGAGTTCGATGAGCGAGTCTGACGGTCGAGTGGGGCGGGCTGGAGCAATGAGGCCGCAGGTCCTGGTGGCCAGTGGTGATGGAGTCACTTAGAAGATGAGAGGTTTGTGGTTTGGGGGTGGGGTGGGGTGGGTAAAAGGGGTGTGGGAGGGGGTTTAGGCGGTTCCCCCCAATTATCTCTGGGAGACAAAGAATGTCCTGGACTGGCTGAGAAGGGATTAAAAACCAGCAGCCTTCACCACTAACTACCCCGGACAGATTCTTTTCCCATTTCCCACCCTGCCATCCAGCAGTCCCCAAGGCGACTGGAGAGAGGGAGAGAACACTGAGACTGACAATACACACCAGCCACGGCGCCAAGGAGAGAAGCCCCCTCCCCCAGGGCCTTGAGACTGCAGTGGAATTGGATCGTGATAGCAGGCCTGGGTGCTGTGACTCCAGCATACCAGTGTCCCCAGATTGCTGTGCCCGAACTTGGATATCACGATCCCATTCTCCCCACAGTGCCATCCGATTGGAGCTTTCGAAACAGCCAGCCTTGGTTCTGGATGGCGCAGCACATATGTGGCAAACAGGGAAGGCCCACCTGGCTGTCAGGACAGGTGTGCACGCCATCAGCAGCCTGGATGCCCAAACTGCAGTTCTCATTGCCACCCTTGTTAATAACTTTTGCCACCACTCTGTCTCACAACCTCTTATCCTCGTCTTGAAACAGCAATATCAACGCAGGGGAACTCTTCTCATTTTCCAAACAGTTGGCCACCAATCAGAAACAAAGTAAGAAAGAGGGTGCAGAATGGAGGAATAGGCAGGAGAAACCAAACAAGGGGATATTGAGGGGTTTGGTGGTCAAGACGGGAGAAGAAATACCATTCAGGGTAAGTGGTACTGTATTGTTCCAAGCATAGGTTCCCAACCACTCTTACAAAGCTCCATCTGGGATACTCCTAATTCCCACCTACAAGTCCAGCGCAGGTGTTAGAACAGATATAAAGATGGAAAAATCATTGCATTCGATCCCCACCCCTCCTAATTATTGCAGTGAAGCCTCCTTGCCCATGTACAGATGGCTGAGACAGGGCAGAAGAAGGTGGCTAGGCAGGTTGGCTCAGAGCCCCCTGAGATGGGGGATGAAGGAGGTGAATTTGGCACATTGAACCCCTTGTTCTCGTAAGTGCTTTGATGTCCTTCTCTTGCATCCAGGTGGTACTACCCCTTGGGCCAGCAGAGAAGGAGTTGAACTTGTCTCTGCCTCCCCAATTTCCATAGATTTGCCTGAAAGAAAGCAAGTGGGGTTCTTTCTGGCTGGTGGAATTTGGGGATCCAAAAGGGTAGGGGTTAGCTGAAAAGGAGAGTTTTTTTCTGTCTTTTTTTTTTTTTTCTTACAAAGATTCTAAGAAAAACTCAGGGCAGAGGGGTTGAGGAAGGGGGACCTAATTTAGCTCCAAGTCCACAGACTTTTTTTCAATGCCTCTAGGGGCCTCCTCAAGGAGAGATGGTCCCAGTTCCTCCCCTCTAAGGTCCTCTCCCCCCAGAGCGGCTCAGTTCCAAAGAAGTTTGGCACTTTTTTGTATTTAAATGGGGAAATTGGAGAGAGAGAGTTGAGCAAGTTGAGAAGAGGACATAGACAAAGATTGAGACAGGACAGGTAACAGTGGGAGCTATGGGAAGACAAATAGAAAGCCATAGGGAGCCAGAGAAAGAAAATGAGAGGAAAATACATGGGGAAGTTATGGAAGCTGGAGGGCAAATGAGAAGGAATAGGGAGACAATTGAATGCAGCAAAACACTTATTAAGCACCTACTGGGTGCTGAAGAGCAGGGGGTAAGGAGGCCACTCAGAGTCTCTAAGACCTGAGTGGCTAACAAGGAGAGAAGAAAAAAAAGGTGATGGGTTAATAATCTCCACCCCCAACCCCACATCTAGGTCCCTTCTGGACAAACTGCAGCACAAAAGATTGAGGTCAGATTGCAGAAGGGACTTCCAAGGGATGTTGAAGATGGAGTGAGTTTCTCAGGGTAAAACAGGGGAAAGGTGCGTGACTCTCCACTCACCATCACGGTGAGTGAACTAGCTCACTAAGCTAGCGAACTACTTTTCAGACAGCCCTGGCTGGCGGGGTAGGGAGGGTCCCCGAGAACTGTGAATAGGGAAGGGTTGTCACACAGACACCCCAAGGGAACATTTTTCAGGAGGCCCAGCCTCCAGAGAGGTGTCTGTGTGAGATGAGTACTGGACCCAGCTGATTTGGGACCCAGACTCAGCAAAGGGGCTTATGAAAGTCAGAAAGCTGCTGCCAAGCTCAGGATGCAAATGATATGCAAATGAAATTTTCATGCCCCACTCACTGACCTCACTACACCTCTCCCTGGCTCCTTCCCCACCTTATGGGGCACTGGGGACTTGCAGGGGGATGGATATTCCAGCTAAATACTGTAATACCCACTTGTGGGTGGAGATACTGTGAAATACCGTAAAGTCTTTTGAGAGGTGGAGGGGAGCAAGGGCCCACACAACCTCTCCCATCTCCAACCCCAAGAGTCTCAACTGTGGAAGATATGTACAAAATTACATCAAGAATTGTTTTGGCACTCAGATCTCCATCTGGGTTCAGTCTGGAGATTAGGGGCGGGGGCAGCAGCGACGGGAGGTGGGGAATGGGAGAGGGGGAAATGGGACCTGTCCCCCACTCTGGAGATGACAAGGGCATTGAAAAAGTCACCCCAGTGCCCAAGCTACAGCCTCCCGTAGGGTGGAAGGGAAATTCAGTGCAAGGTACCTTGAAGGCTATTGCTTTCTAGGGATTTTCACATTTTTATTTGGGGGTGTCTCTCTCTAGCAAGGGGGGGTCTCCCAGGCTTTAGGGGCAGGAATTGTCTCTGTGGCTTTTCTTCCCTCCTTATTTAGGAGAGAGACAAGGGGCTGGATTCCCCCAAAGCCATAGAGGAGGGTCTGGAAGACCTAGGAGGGGGACATGGGGGCATGGGGTACCCTTCCCCCAGAGATGCTGATGATGGAACCAGGGCACTGTGGGCCCTGCTTTGGGTTGGAGAAAGTGGAAGTGGTCTCCAAGGGAGAGTGGGAAATGGATGGGGTAGAGGTGTCTCTCAGTTATCCAAGCCTATAGGGTTGTCAGGCCTGAAATCTCAGTCTGTCATTAGGTCTTTAGTGCTAACCATAGTCACAGTGCTCAGGGAGCCACTCCCAAACCAACTTTTAGGGTTGCTTGGCTTGTCAGACTTCGTCAGAACATTCTAGTTCTTCAGAGCCCACAGTGAGTGCACCAAAGCATTCTAAACCATCAGATACCACCAAAGTTTGGCAGCTTGCCGGAAGCCACCATGCCAATCTCATCTATCAGAGCACTGAAGCATTCCAGCCCAAGGGACCCAACCATGGCTCACTGAACTCTACACTGGGTCACACTGGCCTGACAGAGCCACCACGCATTTGGCTCACCCAATTCAATGAAACAAAGCCACGCAGACACAGGCATGCACACAAAAGGTGGGGATGGGGATAGTGGGGGTCTTAAGGGTATTTTTCACTAACTCCATCTCCTACCCCTCACTGACAGGGCAAGTGCACAGACTTGGTGTGTTTGGATAGAGATGACCCTGACAGTATGGGGTGTTTTCCCTTAGAGTCCTCCAGATTGGATCCAAGTCCTGACATTTATTCTTTCCCTGGGAGGACCTCCAGGCCAACACCCACCAAAGAAGGGAGTGGGTGGAGAGGGAGGATCAGGGACTGGCCATGTCCAATACAGGAAGTACATGCTTCATCCTAATGACATCACAGGAAGTGACCTACAGTCACCCCAGGAAGTACATGTCCCTATAATATCACCAAAGTGACCTTCAGGAAAAGGCTGATTGAGACATCAGAGGAAATACCTGTTTCTCTTATAACAAGAAAGTAGCCTTTGGGGGACTGCTTCCTTGTGATATTATAAGGAGTGCCAAGAAGCACCCCAGAAAGTCTTGACTCACTGACATCACAACAGGGACCCTCATTCCCATCAGTCTAGGAGTAGCCACAGGTAATGCCACAGCAAGTTGCTCCAGCCTCTCACAAGAGTCTTGCCCATGGGACTGGCCAAATCCCAGAGCTGGCCTCATTCCCAGCAGCACCAGCTCTGCCCCCCAAACAACCTGACAACAAAAGAGTGAAAATTCCCACCTAGGAGAGACAACTTGGGTAGGGGGGAGTAGCTGAGAAAATCTGGGAACCTTGGGGTCCCTGCTCTAAGTGCCCCATTTCAGTTCAGACTCCTTGGCTACCTCCACTCCCACAGCTTCCCTCAGATTTGGAAATGAAAGCAGAGAGGTGGGGTGTTGTGTTTTGGGAAGGACCCTCTTTCCAGGTGACCCTGAGGCTCCCTCCCCTCCTCCCATATGAAACAAAAACTTATGAAGAGGGGAAAAATCCTTAGGAAAAAAAAAAAGGAGGGAAAGAAAGAGAAAATAACGCTTTGTTTTCTATTAAAATCAACAAAATGCAATATATACAGATATCACACAGACCTGGGCCCTGGGGGAGGAGGGTCAGGCCCAGCCAAGCACAGGGAGCAAGGAAGAGGGGTCAGTTCAGGGCTGGGGAGGGGGCTTCTGAGCCCCATCCTCAACCATCACTCAATCCTGCCTATGACTACCAAGAGGGGAGGGTGCAGTCAGGCCTACCCCAGCCCCATCCCAAGAGCAGCAGGACAACACCAAGCTGAGGTCAAGAGTTGGGGGGCAGGAGGGGAGGGAGGAGGAGGTGGGAGGAAGAAGAGGGAGAAGGTGGGAGCACACGCCACAGGCCTCATCCCACTTTCTGCGGGTTTGAGGCCCTCACTCCCTGCTCGTAGGTGACCCGCTGGCTGATGAGGTATTGAGCGGCTTGCGTGGCCGCGGGGCTGCCCGTGATGGTGACCCGCCGGTTCCGCGTGCCTGGCAAGAACTCGCCCTTCTTGGAGATTTGGATGCGGGCGCCTGTCAGCTCCTGGTACTCCACCAACGTCTTGCCCCCCTTGCCCAGGATGGCTCCCACCAGGTTCTCAGGCACCGCAATCTCCACTAGCTCCTTGGCACTCTCAGCTGCCAATTTCTCTGCCGTCAAGAAGCCCCCAGCCGCCCCTGCCGCGGCTGCTGCAGCCACCAGCGGGCCACCCCCTCCGCCCGCCCCTCCGCCCGCCCCGGCCCCGAGGTAGCCGTTGGCGGCTGCAGCCAATGCAAAAGACCCTAAGGCTCCGGGTGGCGGAGGAGGCGGCGGGGCGGCCCCTCCGGCTGGCCCGGCCCCAGCTTCGCCCGCATAGGAGGCCAGGAGGTTGGCCGCGGCGGCGGCGGCAGGGTTGGCCCCGGCGGCCACAGCGGCCAGAACGCCGGAGGCTGCGGCCGAGTTGAGGCCCAGGCCCAGGGAGTTGGTGTTGTAGCCGTAACTGGCCAGCGTGTTAAGCGCCGTGCTGATGGCCAGCAGGTCGGTGCCGGAGAAGGCAGGCAGGGCGGCGGGGAAGGCTCCCACGCCCGCCAAGCCCGCGGGACCCAGCAGGCCGGAGGCGGCGGCGGCTGAGGCGGCGGCTGCAGCGGGCAACACGTCGGCGGGGCTGGCGTACGGCGAACCGGTGGGGTTGGAGTTGGCCACGGGGCCTGCCACGTTGGCATAGCTGATGTTGAGGCAGCTGCTGCTCTGGGGATCTTCCTGTACCTTCTGCACGATGGCGCTCACGGCCTTGTGCACCTGCTCAGGTTCACCGCTGACGGTCACCACGCGCTCCTGAAGATTGATGCCCTCGGGCTTCTGGGACAGCTGCACCCACGCACCTGACTGTTCCATCACCGCCTTCACCGTGGCGCCCCCCTTGCCGATGATCAGGCCCGCTGTGCTGTTGGGCACGATCAGCTTGGCCTGCTCGGGGAGCAAGAGGAAGGGTTTTAGGGTGGTTGGGGACTGCACAGGCTCAAGTCATTACCTGCCCTTCCTCTCCAGAGCTCAAAATCCTGCCAGCCTGCCCCTTCCTCCCATATGCCCCAGCATGGTCCTACTAGTTGTTAAAAATATTGACATATTTCCTCAATGGAAAATGAATAACCAGTACTCCAGGTCCCCTCAGGAGCTCCTTACTCACCCTGTCCCATGCCCTGAGACAGCCAATACCTCCCTTGAACCCAGCAATTAAAGACTTAATGAGCCTGTGGCTCAAAGGAGTAGGGCGCTGGCCCCATATGCTGGAGGTGGCAGGTTCAAACCCAGCCCTGGCCAAAAACTGGAAAAAAAAAAGGCTTAATCGCTGATCTAGTGGGGGCCTACGAGGATCCCTCTCAAGCTGGCACTGGTGCCCATCCACACCTTCTAGCATTATATTCTCTGACTTCCAGCCTCAGAAAAGGCTTCATTAGTCTCACTTTATAGATGAGCTGCTTGAAGCCTAATAGGTGAAGAGACTCACTCCAGAGTCCCTCTGATAGTGAAGAAGCTGAAATCTAGGCTCTTGGATCCCTGATCCATTAGGCTCCCACTCTAAGAATATGGTCTCCTCCTTTGGACTCTTCGTTGTTGTGAGCTGAATTGTGTTCCCCTTAAATTTGTGTGTTGAAATCCTAATCCCCAGTACCTCACAATACGACCATATTTGGAGCTAGAGTCTTTAAAGAGGTAATTAAGGTAAAATGAAGTCATCAACATTGGTCCTAATTTACTGTGACTGGTGTCCTTATAAGAAGAGATACACAAAGAGGAAGATCATGTGAAGACACAGAAGAGAGCCATCTACAAGCCAAGGACAGACGCCTCAGAATAAAACAATCTTAATCCAGTGACTGTAGTCTCAGCTACTTGGGAAGCTGAAGTGGGAGGATCACTTGAGGCCAGGATTTCAGGGCTGCAGTGTGCTAAGGTCGTGGCCTTTGAATAGCCACTATGCTCCAGTGTGGGAAAATATAGCAAGACCCCCATATCTTTAAAACGAAAGAGGGAGAAAGAGAGAGAGAGAAAGAGAGAGAAAGAAGATAAAGAAGGAAAGAAGGACGGAAGGAAGGAGCCAATCTTGCTGACACCATGACCTTGGACTTTTGGCCTCCAGATTGCGAGAAAATAACTATCTATTGTTTGTTATTTCAGTCTGAGCAGACTAATTCAGTTGTCTTATTTGCAGAATGAAGGTAATATGAAGCTTTCTATCTGAGAAGGCAGGGCATTAGAAGAGACCTCTCCAGGATGAGGAAACTGGTCATTTAAATGTCGTAGTCTTCCTTCTCAGTGCAAAAACCCATCTGAGCATCAGCAAGTCTGATCAATCATCTTAATCCCAGTGGAGACATTTCCAAAACAGTCTTCTTCCTTGATACCTCCAAGAGCATTTCTTCATATAAATTTGTCCTCAAAAATCCTTCCCTTATCCCGGTAGACCTGAGGATTCTACCCCCTGAAGTTTACATCTCTGCCTCTCCACCCCAGCCCCATGCCAGATATTTTGGAAATTTGTGGGAGTGGCTTTGGTTGCAAGGACTAGGGAAAGATGTGGACATTCAGTGCACAGGGCCATGGGTGTCTGTGTCCCACAACTGAGTGTTAGTTCCTCAAAAGAAGAACTTTCCTGAGCCCTATATGACTATTTTCTTT